TACATCCATCGGTACCCATGCAGTTGTCCAGATTCCTTTAACTCTTTAGATATAAATATAGTAACATTAAACAAGTCAGTATAATCCTAGTGATGCAGCAATTCGTTTTAAGGGAGTTACCATTTGATTTTTATGGGGTGGGGGGCTAGGATGAAATTTGAAAAAAAGGCAGGACAGGAGTTTTGAGTAAAAAAAAAGGCAGGATGAGCAACTTGGCAAAATAAAAAAAGGCAGGATGACTAATAAAAAAAAGGCAGGACCGAATAGAGTGAAAAATAAAAAGGCAGGACAGAGATTACAACTAAAAAAAATGCAGGACAAAATTTTTCATCCTAGCCCCCCATAAAAATCAAACGGTAGCTCCCTAACTGTCTTGTGGAAATAATTATCTTATGTTTTTTGGCCAAAATAACTTGATTTCGTCGAAAGTAAGGCGTAGAGTATAGTACATTTCATTCAAATTATTCCTGGGTTCCATTTCTTCTAACACAATAACTAATCCTCTTGCTTTCTTCGAGACTATCGCCAAAATGCACTTGACATCAAAAATTTGATATTTCAAATTAATAATTTGTTCTATCAAATTATGATGAATTGTTATATCAAATTATGATGAATTGTTATATCAAATTATGATGAATTGTTATATCAAATTAATAATTTGTTATATCAAATTATGATGTGAATTCTTATATCAAATTATCATAAATTGTTATAGCAAATTTATAATTTGTTATATCAAATCAAGGATTTGTACAGTAAGATTATATCCTTGATCAAATTTATAATTTGTTATATTAAAATAATAATTTGTTATATCAAATTAATAATTTGTTTCATCACATACTTATAGAAAATAATGGTATAATTGTACCCCATGATAAAACTAATTTGTACATATATTTATTCATTAAATTTGAATAATTGTCTTAGCCGTGTGATTTTTGTTATCAACTGCTTCCGGTTTATATCAACTGCTTCCGGTTATTATCGCATGCCTTTCTGTAACGTTATCGCATGGCATTTCGACGTCATTCGGCAAATTCCGGAAAATAGACCTCAATGGTACGTTTTTAGTGAAAAAACATAACTAAGTTGTAAAAAAAAAATATTAGGAACCAGGAAAATATATTATTAAAAAATGCAAAACAAATAAAACAATAAAAATTAAATTAATGCATTTTTCAAAGTTTAAAAAAAAGTTCTTGTCTGTATGTCTTCTGCTGAAGTATATGATAAAAAGAACATAACATGTCGGCTCTCGGGCTGATATCATGACCTAGGGCTGATAAGGGGTCTGATATGAAAAATGCCATGTTATAATCTATATATATCAAATTGGAAAAGGTAAATTAGCATGGCCCTAAAAGGTTTCCGTACTTTATTCCGTTAAGAACAAATAATTAAGGCTGTATTATTTCTTCTAGTGGAATAATAGTTCATAACATTTCTTCAATTTAGAACTTGTGTTATAAAGGAACTTTTATTGCATGACACATAAACTTATTACGAAAATTGCAATATGTGATCGGCATAATCTGGAACTCGAACACTGAGCTCGACATGAAACAGTACCTCAAAAATCTGTATTTTTTGCACTATTACAAATATAGATGATGAATTTCATCTCTTCTTTCATTGCGAAAGAAATGAAAATGTAAGAAACAGTTACTTCTCTGCCGCTGTAATTGTTTCTTAAAATATTGTCTTTATGAGTTTCACTAACAAAAAAGAACTACGATATACTCAATCCAACAAGGATCAGGAGGATTTTAAAAATGAATATTTTGGCCTGGTTACAACTGAAGAAAAAAAAACTAGGATGAAAACGCGTGTTCTGCTTAACCATGTTAACAAAATGCAGGAACTTGAGTAATGCTTAGTACGTTTGTTTATATTCATTTGAACAAACTTCTATGGAATTCCATATATGGTAGACTAGAAAAAAACCCATATATTTTCCACTTTTAAGCTAGTCATTATTGGCGGGAAAATGGAAAAGTAATAAGCTTTACCGACACCTTTTTTTATAAGATATACGACATTTAAAGCTTATCATACTAGCGCACTTCGTTCACTTTGCTATTCAGATTGGCTTTCACAACGAACTATTAAATAAATGATTAATTGCTAAAATTGAGTAATATCAGAAATATCAGAAGTCCATTACTAGTGTTATGGACTTCTGGTAATATGCATTTAAAAAAGAACGAAACTAGTACAGCGGACACCCACCTCGGTGATAAAATTTGTCAACTTTATATAATGTTTTGCATCTTAGATTTGTATAGTAACTAGTCCTTTACTATACAAAATAAATCTCATTCTGTAGGATTTATAAGACATATGTATGTTTTACATAATGCTTTTTTAACACTAACATACACACACTTTTTAATTGAAACGTATGTGTAGGACTGAAAACTTGGCAAATTGTTACATGGTCATTTACCAGTTGAGTTATTTAAGGTCACGCGGATCTTGCACCAGTGAAAAATACAAATGAAAGAAAATAGTCAACCTGAAAAAATGTATTTGGTTCCATCCGTATATTCGTCTTTGGTGTCTTAAAAGTGATCAGCAAAACCTCTCACTATAAGGACAATAATTGGAACAATGACAAATGTGACCGAATTATGGTAACGGGATAGCAACAAATTACTGCTGTGTTAGTTACAATGGCTTTCATCTGAAAAATTATAATAAATGACTACATATAGTTGTGTATTCTTGTATATTGACATATAAATCATTAATGTTCATTTACAAAAATGCAAATATTCTTAAAAATTGAAACATAACTTGAAAGTAAAATAACAAAAATACCGAACTCCAAGTTATATTCAAAACGGAAAGTCCTTTATCAAATGGTAAAATCAAAATCTCAAACACATGAAACGAATGGAAAACAAATGTCATATTCCTGACTTGCTACAGGCATATCCTTAGAGCTAGCTAAACCTCTCACTTGTATGACAGTCTCAAATAATTCCATTATATTGACAACAATGTATGAGCAAAACAAACAGACATAAAATATGACCCCTCTTAGCTAACACTTACATCTGTACTATTATTTGTCTTTTTATTTTTGGCCATGGCGTTGTCAGTTTGTTTTCGATCTATGAGTTTGACTGTCCCTCTGGTATCTTTCGTCCCTCTTTTACAACGATAAGCAATGTTGACCTTCGTTTAGGGTCATTTGAAGATTCGATAAGATGAATTGTATTATATTGCACGTACATATTTGAAAATAATGCTGTTACTCCATTTGTTATAAAAGTTCATATTAATCGTTTACGACGATGGTGATGAATAAAAGATACACCCCTCCCAACTCCACCCCAAAAAATCCAACAAAAAAAAACCACAAAGAAAAAAACTTGAAAAAAAAAACACTCGCACACAAACACAAAAAAGAAAATAATAAAATGAAAATCAACAAAAATGTAGAAAAGCTGCTGTTTAGTTTACATCAAAGTTAAACGGCGTATCGAGTTCTGTACAATGTAGAATCATGTGAAGTTGCATATTCATTTAAGGCTGTAGTTCAGACAATAGCCACACATGTATTGCCTTTCTTTCATGCATGTCTGTTAAGACAACCATATATTGATAAAAAGGATAGAAGAATAAAAGAAAATAAGTAAAGGAAACATAAACCATGACCAGAGACATTTAAAAGTACCAAATGTTCATAAAGTTGATGGAATAACTTATCGACAAAGTAGTCCGTCTACACGGAACATTACATCATGTACAGTTTTAGATAAAACAGAGAAGAAAAGGCATTACTCGACTAACACAAGCCTTATTCTTATAGATCCTAGTTGGGCGAGTGGTCTAGGTTGCTGACACAGTGCCGGCAGTGTGACCACTGTGTCACAGAAGCATGGCTTTAAAGATCATGTACCCTTTTGTTGTTACAATGCTAAACATATGGAAATTTTATAGAAAATTCACAGCCTTTCCCTTTGTAATCTTATATTGACAATTCTGTACTTAATATACATTGCAGTGCAAGCAATAATTTACCAAAAACAAGTTTTTAAATAAAGATATTATATATTAGAACAAGAACAAATATGGACCTTTCGAAGAACACCTTCTAGTGTGCGCTTCACTTTAGTTACTTAGCTCGTGTTTTTTTTTTTTTATTGTAGTAAAGGTTGTTAAGGACTTTTTGTAAACAATAAACATGGACAAGCAAGTGAGTTATCTATGTTTGAAATATTATTACGAACATCTCTACAATAAAGTCTGTGGAAATTTCTTTAAAAATCTTGGCATGATTTGCCACAAAATCCATATTTTGTATTAAATGCAACGGAACAATAAAAAATATTGCTGTGAACGACGTTTTCCTTTTACTTAATGTACAAAATGGCAGGTCTCTTTTAATATAATATTCAATATTTCTGCTGTTTTGGTCATGATTTAGTGCACTTTGAAAATTTCGTAATACACAGACCTACAGAAGGGGTCATAAACCTAAAATCCTGCTGAGGGAAAAAGAAAAAAAAAATTCCTACCACATATTTGCAGATCTAACATTGTTAGGCTGAATATAACACGAAGTATGTGTAGTTTGTGGTGCCAGCCCCAAATAACCTTAGGTTATTCAATGGAGGGTGCACGTGTCTGTCGTAAAATATAATTTTCCTATTTAGTAAAAAAAATCATAAACAGTGGTGCTATAGATCTTGTCACATGTAACTGTTTATCCCCACAGAATCAGTGAAATCGCCCCTAATTCCCAATTGACCCTTTTTTGAATTCTACTGATCACGTAACCCGAATAATTCAGTCCCTCCCCGTGATCGACTCTCCCACTCGCGTTAATGTAGCCATCGTAGAGCAGTGGAATATAACGACTGAATTATTCGGGTTACTGATCACGACCCTCTCTCAGTAAATATGGCTGATTGTTGACAATTACATGGCATATGCAGTATAAATTACTATCATTAATCTATAAAACGCTGAAACTCATGTATACTTTAGTTATAAATAGAACGTTTTTGTAACGATTTTAGTACTATGACATTTCAACAAATATCAACTTTGAAATCTAATACTTAAAGGAAATAGGAATTATGAATAAACAAATACACAGAATTTTATTAGACAATTCTCAAAGGGACACAATCTCAACACAAACCAGTATCGTGGATGATTGGGAAAATGTTGAAAATTGACGTATGTTACAGCCTTATCATGGTTTATTAGTCAATATAACAAATGATCACAAATTATTCCATCGTTAATGTTTGGTATGAAAGTCATTGATTACATTCTGTGTCACTAAGTTTAAAATGGAATAATGTAGCAAAGGTGATATTAAACATACTCTCCGTAAGTTAACGTTCTTTTATATTATCCTTTAACGCTATTTACTAGAAAAATCTACCGTCGTGACAATCTATGGCTTAAAAAAAGCCATAGATTGTCACGACTATAGATTGCTACCTAAGGCTCTACTAGTCACGTACGTGCCTATACATAATTTTTTCAATTAGAGGTTCCCGATCTAACACTTTAACATTCTACACAGAAGACAGGTGCTAGGTTTTCAATTTGATGGGCATTTGTTTCTCAACAATAAGCATTCATCATATTTGATTAAACTGACTGGTCACAGAATCTGACCTGCACACAGTATGCATGTAGTCTATTTAACGTATACAAAACTTGTTAAACCCCGCCATATTCTACATATATACCTGTCAAAATTAATTAATAATAAATAATTAAAGATTTATTTAATGTCGGGAATACATATAACCAAGGAATTGTATATTTAAAAGGAATGGAAACGCAACCGATTTAAAAGAGAATTGTATGGTGCATCTGGCTCCAGACCACAATTAATTCCCTCTGTTCTAGGAATAGAGTTTCCGAGTATCATATATGGGGTATTTCTTCCGGAGTATTCTGGCTACTGTTTTCTTTGAAAAGTTTACTATTTAAGTGGTCCAATCAGTTGCATATATATTGAAATGAGTAAAACCTGTGGGAAAAATATTGTTGAAAGTGAAAGTATGATTTGGCCTGAATGAAAGTAGGGTAGAAATAAGCTTCATCATTTATTCAAGATTCAAGTCCTATCATTGGCATGTTAAATAATAAATAGAGCTCTCAAAAGAAAAAAAAGCACAGATGGTTTGTCCTGGGACAATTATATTTTATCAGAATAATAATGGTCTATTTACAGTTAAATGTATTTCTTGTTTGGACTGGTGCAAATTTTTAATTCAATTTGACTTTTACAAAGAAATGCATTGTAACCAATGGTAAGAATAATTGTGTTCAGATATGCCATCTCTGTTTCGGGCGATGTGTTAATTACGCCCCGTACCTTTAACTGGCTAATTACTTGTCTTGCATTAGTTATCGAACTTTACTAGCGGTCACTGATATGCTATATATACAATAAAAGAGTGATCTACAAATGTACGCCTTCTGAGTGACACACTTTCAGTTTTCCACAAGAAAATGGTAGTTGCTCAAGGTAATTACGTTGATTTATTATTGGGAACCCGTACGCAAAAACTCAGTTGCGTACACATCGTAAATTATTTTCTTTATAAAATGGTCAAAAATTGTTTATCCTCGCTACGCTCGGCGAATGGTGCCTACACTTAATTACAAGTCTAGCTACGCACCTGGTTTTCGTTTCAAGAGCTCCGGACATTTTGATTTTGTATTTTGATTGAAAAAAAAAATCTGATGAAACTACATTTACGACAAGTATATTTTTATCCGTTTGGAACTTTTTATATATGAACAATTGTTAAATTCTATGTCATTTTGGTCTCTGGTGTAGAGTTGTTGTCTCATTGGCAATTATACCACATCTTCTTATTTTTATAACAACAGGGAACATAGCGGGTAATTTCATTTGCATATAGTAGTACTAGTATTCCAAATTTTCTGCCCTTCATCTCGGTCAGTCCAGCCTTCCGTGACATTTTTTCAATTTTATGACCCTTGATGATTTTATTCTAGTCCAACCTATAGAACGCTTAATATGAGGAATATTTTCATCTCTGCCCCTCGGCGTAGACCGAGTCATTGTCATCGTCATTATACTTCACCTATTCTTCATGGTGTCTCTCTACATGACCTAGCATTCATACAAAAACCGCTGATCGAGTATGTATAACCGGGCGTTTTCCGTGTTATAGTAATTCAAAGACGGAATACCAATACTTTAAACTTTATTAGCAAGGTCCGGACAGTACCAGACCTAAGACCTAAAACTGACTACAAAATAACATACAAAAGCATATATAAAAAACAGTTACTATAGAAAAGGATTAGTGTCCAACGGATTAATTTGTCATGGTCAGAGTGATTTCCATCACGACAAACATATATTTAACAATAGAATTAATTAAACACAAAGAAACGTAAAAGGTTAGATAAACGGATTAACAAATTGTAACTTTAGCACTTAAAATATATTGTCTGAACTGGATTTATTTATAATTCCCAATTGTCCAAATCTTCCTGGTTATAATCGCCACTACTCCACCTAAACTCGGTCTCCGAGTTTGCCGAATTGAAACTATTTGACTCGGTTATCTTCGTGGGTAACCTCCTCGTTGTGGGTGTTGATGCGAGTTTTTGGGATAGTTTGAACGTAAACTTTTAATTTGATTCTCGGCGACTGAAAGTTCATGAAGTAAATCTTGACATTCACGTATATCGTCGGAATGTTGTGCTTTTAGTCGCTGAATTTCGTCTTTAAGTGTTTTGATTAAATGACAGTCTTGCATCTCAGCATTTTTCAAATCCATTGTTAAGCTGTATCTGGTGTTGGTTAAACTTAGGTTTTCCTCTTTCAACCGCACTATTTCTTTTTCAAAATTTTGAGTTCTACGTGTATACTCAGCTAACTCCTGTTCGATCTTCTGAATTACCCGGCCATGTTGTACACGATCGGAATTTAATTTGTCCAAACTGTTCCTTAACATCACGTTTTCTTTCATAACGGTATCCAATTTAGAATTTTCACACTTCAGCACAGCGATTTCTTTGATGAAGTTTCGGTTAGACACTTTCAACTTGTTAATGTGCTGTTTCGCGAATTCGTCCTGTATGGAGCACGTAAAAACGGAGAGTTCCTTGTCCTCAAGTCCTTGAAACGGAAATTGAGACATTTGTTTCTTCTCAATAAACGTTCTCATTCGGTCGCTGTCTCTTTGAATTTTTGACTTTGATTTCTTCTTCGGTTTTGGGTTTTCACACGACTTAATGTGAAAACTACACATACGGGCAAAATGTCCATGATGTCTGCACTTGTAACAATAAGCGTTAACTGCATAACACCGATGGTATGTGAAAACATTCAATGTCTTACCGCAATATTTGCACAGAAAGTCCAAACAGGTATCTGCTTTTCTCATCGGAAACGGATGTCCATTTCTGCAAGGCTGGTAATTCCAAGGTCCTTCCATTCTGTTGCTTCTAGAGGTATTCATTACTAGTTTGGGGGAACTAGCTCAAGATCGTGCCGCGGGTACCTCAACCAATATATAACCGGGCGTTTTCCGTGTTATAGTAATTCAAAGACGGAATACCAATACTTTAAACTTTATTAGCAAGGTCCGGACAGTTCCAGACCTACGACCTAAACTGACTACAAAATAACATACAAAAGCATATATAAAAAACAGTTACTATAGAAAAGGATTAGTGTCCAACGGATTAATTTGTCATGGTCAGAGTGATTTCCATCACGACAAACATATATTTAACAATAGAATTAATTAAACACAAAGAAACGTAAAAGGTTAGATAAACGGATTAACAAATTGTAACTTTAGCACTTAAAATATATTGTCTGAACTGGATTTATTTATAATTCCCAATTGTCCAAATCTTCCTGGTTATATATGCATCACATCCGAACAAAACTACCCCTTCTCTGTACAAGTTATGTGTGGATTGTATCTGTGAGGTCGGTGGTACAAACTGAGAAACAACTTTATGGGTTATTAAAACTCGTGCTACATCTATTTTTAAATACCCAAATGTTTCTAAGCACTCTCCGCAGACAAAGCCAAAAAAAATGCTGGTTGACTGCTAATCCCCTACGGTAACATCAGCTCAATAGTCATTGCTTTGGTACTGACATGCTTTATCACAAGGGCGACGAAGGAATAACATATGGTCACTTGGTCTTTTCCCGTAAAAGTTAAACCCTGGCCAAAGTGGGAAATTCATTTGGCTGTGCAGTACGTACAAGTACACAGTCACGTCCATTCATAATGGGGACGTTAAATTCAATGCCTTTTAATGAGAGAATGCCAAGCTCTCTGCACACTTAAAACCCTTGCAACGACTCTTTGAGGGGTCCATAGATTTGCAAGGCAAAATTTCTGTACCTGTCCAATATACGCTTATTTTCCAGTGGCAGTCTAAATTTCCCCGACCATCATCTCGGACGGCCTCTATTACAGGACCTTTCTATTTATTGATAATTTGTTATCGTCCTGAACATGCATGAGTTATTTGCCACTGTACGTTAAGCAACTAATAATAAATCAAGCCTTTCACTGAATAATTCAAAGTTTTTGACTATGCTGACGGCATATTTTATGGACGTGAAACAATTGACATCACAGTTACAGTTAAACCTGCCTGCATTATATCTTTACCTACACATCAGCTGAGAAAAGACCTTTGCGACAAAAGAGATAGTTTCAATTTTCCCACTATGAACTTATTATTTATGTTTAGCAACAGTCCAGCTGTGTCTACATTTGAAGAATATATGCGAGAGTTATTTAAGGGCTTACGTTTTCTATGTTGATTTCCTTTATTGAGGGTTACTGCTTACAAGAAAGCTATTGCATAAAGTGTTCCAAATGGTTTAGCAATCCCATCGCAAGTTTCTCAGACTTCATCTTGCTTTTGTTGATCGTCATTAAATAGCTATGATACATAGATGACCATGGGTATGTTCACTTGTCGTAACCACAAACTCGTCCTCTTTTTCTTGATTGTCACAAAACCCACAAAACCGATTGAGTCTAACCGCCGTATTTTTACTTGCAATGGGTTACACGACGGAACAGGAACTGTTTAACATTCTGTATCACCTAAGTTCCTGTTTAACATTCTGTATCACCTAAGTTCCTGTTTAACATTCTGTATCACCTAAGTTCCTGTTTAACATTCTGTATCACCTA